ATCTTCATCACACTGGAAATGCAGACAAACGTCTGAAGGAAAAGCCTCCTGACAGCAACAAGTTCCAAACACTTTGGACAGAAAATGGTGATTACACTGTGTTATTAAATGAAAACGTCTTTAGCGTGGACACCAAGCGATAGCTTCAGTAAAGACAGACAGGCTTTGTACCAACCTTAAAGACATGAGGCAGATCCTGTTCTGGGTGCAGCCTGCCGGGCTGGCTGTTCTCGTCAGGCAGTGGATCATCTGGTTCAATGGGCTCAGGCGGTTCTGGAGAATTAGTTATTAAATACTCATCTTCTTCCTCATCCTCTTCATCTTTATAAAAGTCTTCCAGATCAACAGAGCTGGGAGACAACCAGAAGCACAGGGTAGAGTCAGAGACTGCTGCAAACACGGTTACACAGCACGCGTCCTACCTGACCCAACACTGCTCTTCTAATAATAATGACTCTCTGTTGTCATTTGTATAACGTTTGTCAACAACATTTGTTTTTTAAGTTTAATGTATTTGAAATACAGAAGACAAACCAGCCCGGGTCCATCGTCATGTTAAACTGAAACAGAGTGTGTGTGTGTGTGTGTGCGCGTGCGTACATGTGCGCGTGCGTACGTGTGTGTGTGTGTGTGCGTGCCACCTGGTATCAATGACCACAGCTCCGGGCGCTCTGGTCTGCTGCGTGGTCATGGTGTACAGGGTTTCTGGAGACTCGGAGCGATCCTTGATCTGTATCCTGGTCAGTACGAAGAACAACAAGCTGTAACAGGCTGCAGCAGCTCATATCATCCACACCTGCCATCCTGTGTAACTCTAACAGGATATTCAAATGTACCAGATGAACTGCTGTAAAATGACTGCCCTGCTTTCAAAAGCAGAAAAAGAATTATTGTCACTTCTGTGTTGCTGAGCATTGAAGAACAAATCCAGAATGGCTTGTGGCAGCGCCCCCTGCATAGAAACAGCGCAGGTCCAATCCGCGACATTTTTTAAAAACTCTGTACTTCGTTAGCCTGTATTTAAACATGACAGTGAAGTTGAAGCCTAATCCTAACAGCAGGATCAGCTGTGTTTAGCTGCACTGTCTTGTGCATCGTGCTGACTGTGCAAACTTTCCTGCAGCTCAGACAGTGGACAGGCTTCATTTTTAATACGGGCAATTAACTGGAACTAAGGGTGGCAGGCTAACTGTCCCAAAAACACACAGCAAAGAGCAGAAGTCTACAGACTGAAACTTCAAATCAGATAAAACACTCAGGACCAAGTACCCTGTCCCTGTGGGAGCTCTCGGTTCAGGTAGTTTTGCTACCACGTCTGCAGCTTCCTGCTTCTCCTCCACGTTGTTCTCCATGTCGTCACTCTCGCTCTTCATTGAACCGTAGCTGGACGGTGGCCTTTTCCACTTCTCCTTCTCCTCGTCCTCCTCATTCATCTCATCCTCTCTCTGGAAAATGCTGGGTGAAGGAAAATAAAGTTTTAGTGTGCACCTGACTGTTTCTTAAACATCATTCTTCTCACAGATATTCACTCATATATAGTTTTGGTTGTCTGGCTGTGACAGAGAGGTGTA